AAGATAGAGGGTAAAAGCTGATTTCTAGGAATTAACACCTGTGATAAATTCACTGCCACTGGTGTCTGTCATATTTCTCAGCTCAATTATCTTTCTGCAGTGCCTCAAAATGCTGCATTTGTATTAAGGCCTTTAAAACTACCATTGCGTACTTAATTCTTTCTCAATAAAACATTTCTCCTGTCTGCCATGTAGCTGTGTACAAGCCTCACTGTGACCTCCAGAAGAAAGAGATTGAGAGAATTCAGAAGGAGGAGAACATGTCTCTCCCACAGGACATAGACTATTTCTCTCTGCCAGTGTCACTTTCTCGGGAAGTCAGAGAGATTCTGGACAGAGTTCGACCCACCACTGTAAGTACATTTTATATATTGTTTACCAATCATTTTTTTAAATCTTTTTTTATATTTTCAAAGACCTGAAAATGGTAAAAAAAATTATTTTGTCTACCCGCAGAAGAGCCTATATTTCAGTCAACTCTTGGCTAAATTAATTAACTCTTGTGCTGTTACATAGAAATGAATTAATGTGCAACTAATACTATGCTTTATCCTCCAGCTGGGTGCTGCAACACGTTTGCAAGGTATAACTCCTGCTGCAGTAGTCAATCTCCTCTGCTATGTCCGCCACACGGGACAAAAGGAAAGAGGAACACACAGACACCGACCCGACCAAAAAGAGGAGAGAGAAGAGGAGCTGTGTACAAGAAACACATCTTTACCTCAGTGAAATATTGACTCAAACTGTCTTGTAAAAATTTATTTATTCCTGAAAATGTACAAAACACATAAATTAAGGTATTTTAGGATGATACCATATGGACCATTTTCATGTTTTACCTAAGAAAGATGACTTTTTATATTGTAAAAAGAAAAAAAGCTCAGCAAAATAAAATTCTAATACATTCACTTCAGTTCATTCATATAAAGCCTCTCCTCAAATTAAGAAGCCCTGAAAACTTCTCTAACTGCTCCACTGTTACCTTCAGTATCCAGCTACACGGTGAAGAATTCTAATCCTGTTAGCAACATGACTGTGAACAGCATTAAACTCCATGTGACCTTCTCAGTGTCACTGCCGTTAATAACAATGTGCCCGTCCAGCTCAGCACTGCCTCTAGTGAAGAAACCAAACGGAAACTTCCAGTCAGGCTGAGGCAAGCCCCTGGGGGGTGTTGGGTAAACTGTAATGTCGGCAAACGTCACTTCAGTGGTTAGAGCGAGAGGGGACGACATAGGACACTGAAGAAGAGAGAGGAGGAGAGAATTTGGACATTTTTCTAGATGTAAAATGTGTGTTACACAGAAAAGAAGAATTTTTTAACTTGTTTGGCCTACCTTGAAATTTTGACACTTGAAAAGGTATTTGGCTCCCAAGATGTAGCTCTGGGGAAAGTCTAAGCGACCCTGGCGAGCCCATAGCACTCGGATAGAAAGGGAGTTGGGGAGGAGGCAGCCTAATTCACATGTTTCCTAAGAGGGGGAACAAAATAAATGATTGTGAATAGGGGAGCAAAAACAGCTCCTCTACATTTTTATTCAGTTCATGATCATCAAGTCCGACTGTACTCATGCACAGTGCATCAACTTTGTAAGATCGGTGGTCACAAAAACATAGCAGTAATTAAACCTTTTTTTTCCTTAAATACTCCAGATTGTTATTTCAGCTTTACCTGCAGACTGTCAGGACACTTCTGGGTGATGACTCTTGTCCAGTTCAGTTGGGAGCCCGAGTTCATGGCGATCTCATCAGGAGTAGCAAGTCCCTGCAGGATCCCATAAATCTGGGACTGCAGCTCTGAACAGTCACTAGATGGGGATCTAGGCAGCACATGGAGACATTGAAATGACTTGTGAGCGAATGAATAAAACTCAAGAGATGATAATGGCTAAGCAAGATAGTGTGGGTTCACCTGAATGTGCAGCCAGTGATGGTGTTGTGTGGGAAGAGGATGGGCGTTCGTCTGTCGGGGTCAGAGGAACACTCCCCACTCTGAGACACCTTCAGCGTGGTCAGCTAACTCACTGTCAAGGAACCATGATGCATGATTGAACTTAATACGAGCTGGCTAAATGAAAATATAACTTAACAACCTAAGGAGTTGGTTGATGGTGAGGATACAGTTGCCACATTTCCATTAAAGTGGCCGATGACAGGAGATCCGACTCTGAGTCCTACTGCAGGGATTGTTCCTCCTGGAGTGGGGCTGGGCGTGGCCAGCTGCAAGAGACAAATGGCATTAATGCAAATGTTTGAATTCATATTTCATTGTCTCTCTTTGGCTTTAATGGGCTACCTGGAACTGCACAGAGTGTGTCTGTAACAGCAACTGATTTGGTTCCACATCAGCTAAGACTATGTTCACAGATGAATACGTGAGTTCTCCTCTTCCTGTGTATCCTACGATAAACTCCACCTACAGGAAAGTCAGAAAAAGCAGAGCTGGGTTTGATGTTTCCTTATGAACTTGAATTCATGTGATTTAAGACATATGAGTGGCTACTCACCTTTTTCACCACATTGGCACAGGAGCCGTTTTGTTGAACTGGTGCAGGCCACTCAGACAGTGGTGTAACTGGGATCTGAAAGAGTCAATACAGTGTCTTACTTTCTAAGACAAAAGACATGTTATTTTGGCATTAACCACTGATTTAAAGGTTTATTTTAAATGCACTTCCTGTACCTTTACATTAAAAGAATCTGCACCAAGGATATCAGCAATAATCAACATTATAAAAAAATTACTTTTTATGCTTCAGATACAGTTTTCATACTGTAGATAGTGTAAGACTTGTGGTTTAATTCAAAGGGCAGCTGATGTTGTGAGCTGACAGTTCATCAACTTGCACAGAAGCATGTGAAGTCTAAATTAAAAGTGTTTCTGCTAATGTCATGTATGGGTTTGAGTTGTATGTACAATCAGTGACTTACCAGAAAGTCTGACACTTCTGCCATCTCACCTATTGGAATCTGTAATAAAAAAATATTAATGTTAGGCCTTTCTGCTGTGAAATTATCACCAGTAATTAACCATTTCGTGCTGGCAGACTTGCTGACCTTGATCAGACTTAAGTCAGAGAAGTAGGAGCCGGCGTTGAGATTTGGGTCTGTTGTGCAGGACTGAGGAGTCAACATGCGAGTACAAGACAGAGACACAGACCTCAAGAACTCTACAAGCAGAGAAAAACAGAGGGTAATTAGATTAATACTTATAGTGCTTAATATGGTTGTGATATATAGATCTAATATTCTTTACCTATAGCAATTCTGACAGGAGGAAGTCTCTGACACAAAACTTTAGCGAGACGACCTGGAAACTTTGCTACACTGTGATGCTCAGCAGTTTGCTTACACTTTTTGTGTGTCGTGAACTTACTTGCAGGGTTACGGCTGATACAGAATGCAGCAGCAGCTCCTGGAGACGGCTGACGGAGGAGACCCCGCACAGACGAGCTGGAGAAATATGTCTGGATAACATCATCAACCTACAAAGAAACAGAATCTTATTTGCATTTCATTATTATTAATACACACCCCGGTTTAGTTTTAGCACCTTTAATACTTGAGATACAATACTGTGCGCAGGAATCTTCTGTTACCCTGTAGAAAGCTCTGCTGTGGCTGCTGCTTGTAGGTGCTGGTGGTGAGAAGTGGTATGAATCCCCTAAAGCCAGATACTGAGGTAGAGCTTGGAGAGACTGGGGCGCATTATCTGTTCAGACAAATTGAGAAAAATGCAGATTTTTAACAGCATTCATGGCAGATGCTTATATGTTGCTTACTGATGTACTTTTGTGAAATTAGATCTAACTTTATCACTGATTCCCCTGGTGATAGAACTGGTGATTGTTAAATCATTTAAGGTCTAACTACACCATATTTATTAATTAATCTGTTCTTATTATATTGATTTACCTTCAGACCGGACACAAAACAAGGAGTCAGTCACAGTGACAAGAGATGAATCAACATTAGCCCGGTAAATCAGCCATTTCTCGATGCAAACTCCGGATCTGTAAAATAAATTTTTACTCTTTTAAATTCTGAAAATGTGCACTTCATGTGCTACAACTTTAGTGCAGGTGCACACGACTTACATGGCTTTCTGTGGACAGTCAGTGAAAACTGTACTCAAGTTAGCAACACCACAATCAACTGTGTCACAACAGCAGCCAATGTCACAGAAATCAGGGGTTAAATCACAGAGACAACCTGGAAAACAACAGAAGTGACTCGTGTTAATAAGTTGTGTTTAAAATTACAGAATGTTAGAGATTCACTGGTTTAACAGGAGCAAAACCTTTATGAAACCATCAAAACAAGAGGTTTGCTTGGCCTGACAAACTTATGAGCGCTGCAGAATAAAAACAAAGGTAGCTGGACTGAAGTAATTAGCTCATGGGGTTACAAGAGTCAGTAAGTTACCCTCTGGAGTCACCACAGGCTGGATGGTAGGTGTAGAGGCTGGTGTGGAGGGAGCTTCAGTCAGAACAGTAGGAGCCGCAGACACCTCTGTGGTGCCGACACTGGTGGAGTCCACCGCCTCTGTACTACCAGGAGCAGGGGTCGCGGAGCTCAAAGGCTCCGCGTTTGTTGGGCGGACATTGGCAGTTGAGGAGACCCCCGACTCTGTGGCTGCGTTTGCTAAATGTGCACACAAGGCGATAAATATGTGAAGTGAACGACACCACCGGCGGGAGTTCATCTCCTCAAACAGACATAGTGAACAGTGCAGACTCAAGCTTAGCAGATTAGCTAGACAGCTAATGTTAAAAGTTAGCCGAACAAATTTCGCCTACGTTATTCGTAATAGCTTTAAACCCATTAATGCATACAATAAAATAAAACAACGTTAAAATTAAGTGACGTATTTAGCTGAACAGGCCGGACACAAATACACCGGAGAACAAGTTTCTGGTTGCCAAGGAAGTTGTCATGCAGACTTCCGTTTCTATATAATTCTACCGTAAAACCGGTAGTAGACAGGAAGGGACAGAACTGGTATACACAGAATCAAAATATCACAATTCGAGCAGAAGAACAAATACAAATGGTGAACCGAACAGAGTCAGAGCCTGCATACACATCTTTTCCCCAAGGTAGTCTATACACCATCCATCTTCTCACGTGTATTTTTGTCAACTTTTAGTGGTAATGCTTGCATATATTGTATGTCATAGCAGCATAATCCACAGTATATAAATGTCAAATCTGACTTTATCTGAGGTAATACTTGAGTTATACTGATCCCACTTCACCCCATCCCTGAAAATTGAGAAAGTTACAGATTCCTATGTGCAAATACTGCCAATTCTACATAAAAAGGTCAATACAGTTATTTACAGAAATTAAACTTTCTGATGTACTGTTTCTATATTTTTTAGAGGTATTAGGGTGTTTGTGTTGCAGTAGCAGCAGGCCCAAATTATACAAATTACTGTGTGTATTTTGAAAAATAGTGATGGAAGAGCAGTGGTATCCACTGTATGAACAGAATCCATGACAATCTGCATAAGTTTATTTGGCTTTGCTGTTTTTGCTCATGAAATACTTCATATGCCTCAGTGGCCATGATGAGATTAGCAGCACCCTGTGTTGCTGCAGAGTGCAGATAAACAAAATGTTCCCTCAGATCTGACTTGTGCTCTTGTTTTTTTTTTTACTCATTTATGAGGTCAGCCCATATTTCAATCAAAATGTTGTTGCCAGATAGATGTTTTAGAAGGATTGTATATATATAATATAATATGATATAATATAATATATAATATAATCCAGGTTCCTGGCAAATATTTGAAGGTTCAAGCCTGACTCAAGACTTTCTCAAATTTGACAAAGCTCCTGCAGAGCACAGAAAATGGTGTCTGTTTTCACAGGTTGAATGCTGATCATGACACAAGACTACTATTTACTGTCAAGCAAACTGACCTTGATGTGTAAAATAAGTGGATGCCTCTTTAGAAGCATGTAAATGTAAAAAATAAATAAAAACTACTACCACTACTACTACCACTACCAATACTGCTACCTAAACACAACTACTATTACACTGAAAAAACTGCTGGGTTAAAAAAGAAAACAACCTTAACCCCACTGCCAGGTAACTATGGGACAGAAAACACACTGGGTTGGTTTGACCCATGCTGGGTTTTACCACTCAACCCTGAACGGTGGGTGGTTATTTGAGAAAATAAATGAAAAACTGTGAAAGCAAAGAGGGATAAGAGTGAAAAAAGCCTGACTGTGTTACATAATCAAAACAGCACAATTGACTTGTCTTGTTTCTCTTAAGATTTTATTCTTCACTCACAGTATTTTATTATTATTATTTTTATTGCTTTTTTTTTTACAGTTGTTTTTTTCTCCTTTACATTTCTGTCTCTTTTACAGGTTTGACTTTACAGTTTATGATTTATCTTCACAGTTACCCAGCATGTCAAGCAGCACAAATGCTCACCCTTATCGAAGTGGTAAAACTAAAGCAAAACTTATAGGCTGCATGTCAATAAATGACCTGTGCGACTCAGTGTTGGGTCTGAGGGCTTTTCCTCCTCTCTTCTAGATGGATGGGAGACGCAGAGTTGGCAGGACCTTCTGACCTGTCATGGTAAAGTAACAACAATGAATGAACGAATAAATGAATACCCATATGTTTTTAAATTCATGAGAACTATTTTGAATTTGTTTTGCCAACTTTACATAGGCTGTTTGAAAGACACACGTTTGCAACTGCAACAGAAATGGAGACAGGGCAAGGAGAGAAAAGCAGAGAGGCAGAGAGAAGCCGAGGAGACAAAATATATAACAGCAAGGATACTGGAGTAAACGCTGGAAACTATGAATCCGAAAATGGTTTTGAATGGTCCTGGTAGGTCAACTACAGTCCAACTTCAGCCACAAGTTTCTTAATACTACAGCAAACAGAAAAGAATTAGTGGCTAATGTTGCTGTCATTTTTCTGTTTCCCCCTGACATGACATTTCTTTAGGCCAAACATTGCAGCTAAAGTTATTGAAATGTTTTCATCTTTACAGGAAATTAAATGTTTATTAGCCAAACATATGCAGCTGATGTGACTGATTTTATTTGTTGTTGTCATCTTCCTTACCAGCTAATGTTAATGACATTTGTAATTTTATCTAAACATTAGATTTGTGGTGGTCAAAGCTAGCAGCTAATGTTATTGAAAATGTAATAATTTAACTTGATATTATAACCAATGGCCAATTTAGCAGCTAAGGTTACTAACATTTTATCACATCACGTGAAGGTGAAGGTGCTGTTCCCTTCTGCTTCTATGCAGATTTTACAGCTGTGACTGTGGAAAAAAAATGACAAACATGCCCCTGACCTCTAGTTCAGTCACTATCACTCTCTGTCTTAATCTTTAATGGCTGTTGTTTTATTAATGGGTCTTATTTAACTGCTGTTTTCTTTCCATAAATACTTACCTTCTCTGTTGGAGCTGCACACTAGCCAAAATAGGAAACTGTGGTGGTACTGGAGAGCTCCTAGATGAGAGAAAAACATTTTGTCCTTTTGCTCCACGAGGAACTATTTGTTTGAGTTAGTAAATCATTGAATGATTGTCAAAGGATTTCAGTGTGAATATACAGTATATGGCTATTTTTTTTATAGCAGACTGAATATATAAACTTCATCACTCAGTAAAAAGCACTAGTACAAATTAAGTAAACACACCATTTCAGTATACTGAAAATGAATCCAACTGCAAAAGTTACTTTATTGTTTTGTATATGGAAACCTGTAGTGTTTAATATTAGATAAATAGAAATTACATTACAATTTCTAAAACAATTGAAGAAATGATTAAAACTCAGGTAAGAGTTATTTCATCCTTAATTTTCATAATAACAGAGTTTTGATATAGTTATTTGTTTATGGACATTTTAATTTTAAAGGGACCTTCTCAAAGGTCATGATTTTCATGATAGTGGTGCCCCCTGTCTCTGTCACATAAGAAAGTTCAACACATGCTATCAAATTAAGCCTTTAGTTGGTTGATACATAATTAGTTGTTAATCAAGCTAAGAGAGGCTAACTGGCTTAATCCGGTAGCAGTTGTTGAGCTTGCAACTCTAAGAGAGGCAGTGCACATGTGACTGACAATAAGTGGGTTTATGAATAAAAAATAACATTATGAAATGTGACATCAAGGGTAAAAATATAAATAATTATATAAAAATTATGAATATAATGGAATATAAAACCATTGCCTGCAGGTTCTCATTTCGCCTCTTCTGGTCTGTCTGACTGAATCTTTATTCTTCACTTACAGCTCTGTGCGGACTGATTTCCGCTTCAGCCTCCACATGGAGACAATGTGGAGCCTATATCTGATCAAAAGGAAATGTTGCGTAAACATGTGATAGGTATTATCATTTTATTTTACACTCACTCAGTCTGTTTTGAATTCCAATGGTCTGCTTTCATGTAAATTTGCATTCAAAGTCAAGCATTGTCCTCAAGGTCCTCTGCTTTAAATTTTGCATTTTTTCCAAAGAGTTTCTGCACTTTGTGTCCTTTGTTAAATTTCTCAGGCAACTGCTGAGCTGAGTTTATTTTCAGTGAAAACATTGTTTTACCTTGGCCAGGAAATTAAGGGTGGAAATCCTGGAATGTAGATTTGAAACAACTTCTGACTGAACTGAGCATACAGCGCCCTGAATACATATGAACACAGACTTTTGCCAAGCAAATTCTTCACTGCAATTAGGTCATCATGTTACTGATTTTAAAAGTTTGGGTCCAAAGGTGCGTTTGAGCAATCTATGGACAAAAAGTGGCCTCATAGGTTTTTATTGACACAAACTCAAACCCCTCGCTGCGACAACAATTTCTTTGGTAAAAGAACAAGAAATTGCAAGTGGCATAAGTGAAATAACACAGTGTGAACATAGTAATTTGTTGAGCTAGCAGATAAAATGTGCAATCTTTTTCTTTTGTCCTCTCTCTGTGTGATTATAGTTTGCCTCTCTGTGTTGTATAGAGTTCTTTTAAAGCCCGCCCTCGTCCCTTCCTCAAATTACATTGGAAGCAGTTGAGATAGTATTGTGAATCAGGAATGTGGAATTCATACGTAACTGGGAATGTTACATAAGGGCACTTTAGTGTAGGTCTGCCTGTTCAAGTTTCAGTGATCACAGGTACCAGCACTCAGACAGCCAGGTTACAAAGATAGAAGGAGGACGAATACAGGCACATTTTAAAGTGACTGAGGCACTTAGCTGCAGGGAGCTCAGGAGAGATTGTTTTTGGGGAGAGCCTACTGACAGATTCTTGCCTTTGGATTCAGATATTGGAAAAGATTTTGGCTGAAAACCAGAGAAAATCAAGAGGAGATTAAACCAAAACATCTCTGGCAAACAGAAGGACACGAGGAAAAGATAATGAAAGAGTGATTCATATGCAGTGATTGTGGTCTCTGACAAGCACGCAGGAAGAGGATTGCAGACAGTTGGAATTTGTGGTGTACAAAAGCAGTGCAGCCGTGAGTGTTTGACTAAGGACCATAAGCCAGCTGAGAGAGGATCTCCCGGAGGAACCACTGCACTGGCCTTGCTCCAGTCTTTTTACAGTCGGATTTTTACTTCTGCCTCTTGATTTCCTCGAGTAAACTTTTGACAGTGTCAGACATGTCAGAGGAGAAACAGATATCCTATAGCGAGGCCATTCAGAAAGCCAGCGCCTCCATCACTCGCTTCCCTCTCATCCCGGTCAGAGGAGTTCCTCTCATGAGCTACATCGCCAACAACTGGGACTCCATCTGGGCTTTCCGTCCAGACCCCTCAGACCTCCTCATCGCCACCTACCCCAAAGCAGGTACTCAGACAGCTGCTGCCAGATGCAGCTTTGTTCATATACAGTAAATCTCTAAGTGAGTAGTCTTTATAGAGTAGACATGTATTTTTGTTAAAGCTCTGTTAGTCTTCCCATAGTTGTCACCAGTGATGGAAGGTAAAGTACATCTACTCAAGTACAAATACTTGTACTTTACTCCAGTATTTACATTTTCTGCTTCTTTATGCTTCCACTTCCAACTGCATTTATTCACAGATTTAGTTACTTTTCAGATTAAGAGTCTGCATTCAAATCATACAATGATCTTATAAAATATGATGCATTGTTATGGCTGCAAAAGTAAATGAAAAAGGTCAAATTAGCTCTGCCTCAGCCAACTAGTAAAATGCTGCTTATACATTAGGCAACGCTAACAATGATCCAATAATATAATATATTTAGTATAACAGTCTTTCTCCACCACTGGAATAAAGCATGTATGACAGAACACAGAATAAGATGAACCCATCATGTAGCGAAGCTGACAAAACAAATAGAAAATCAAAGGAAAATGACATAAATTAAATATATTTGCAACCCTGGCAGAAACAGACAGGGAGCTGAATGCAGACACCAAGGCAGACAGTAAAGCAACCAACAAACACACAAGGAAGTAATTTCAAAGTAAAACAGGAAATTAGTCTAGAGAGTCACTTAAGGGGCAGATGGTGACGAAATTCAAGAAACCTGTCTGATGAAGAATGAGTGCTAAAAAAAAAAATAGTTTTGCTGTTAGGATACAGGTGCATATCTAAGACTGGGGTTTGGTGTGCGTGTGAGATTGGATATTTCTTCAAAATGGTGAGATTCAATACACGGAGAGCATCTTATTCGTTTAATTCAGTGTGATTTTTTTTTTGTGATTTTGGGACATAAGGGACCACGTGGACCCAGGAGATAGTTGACCTGCTTCTTCACAACGGAGATGCTGAGGCCTGCAAACGAGCCCCCACACCCGTCCGCAGTCCTTTCCTGGAGATCTGCTCCCCACCACCCATCCCCTCAGGTGTGTGTTTATGTGGTTATGATTGCACTGATGTGATTGTATTTACACATTTTTAATTCTATTTAGGTAATAAATGTGATTTTCTGTGATTCAGTTTGGAGGTTGGGCTGTTTCTACTTCGCCCTGTATTTTCCTTTTGCGTCTTCTGTTGAAAATATTCCAAGTGCACTTTGTGTCCCCTATCTTTGGCTAAAACTCCTCTATTATTATTTGGTGCCACTCTGTCCAACTAGGTCTGACTGTGCGATGTCAGAACTCACAAATCCAATTCCTGGAGGAATGTTTTCATAACCACTTGTTGCTTCCGCCTTAATCAGGGTCAATGAGCTATTAACCCATAAACATCTCCATCAGTGCCACAGTGCCCAGACTTCCCCAGCGACAAACTGCAGGTTATGCTGGTGGCTAAAATAAAAACAACTAACCAAGACAATATAGTTGTTCAAATAATAGTGGAGTGAGATTTTAGTGAGACATGAATTTCTGAATCAGTGTCCCTGGATTCTGCAGCAGTATCATGTTGAGCATTACCCATCCGTACTCCCCTAAATTATTTTTTTGTTATTGTTGTTGTATTGTTGTAATTGTTATTTCAATTTAAAAGCTCCATTAATCATTTTTTTGGCAACAAGGAGGCAGACAAGTATCAACACAAGCCTTAAAACTTTGTTATTGCTGCAATTATGGTGCTTACATCTGTCACACATGGAGCAGGATTAGCATTCATTCGGAGTCTTGTTTCTGAACACCTGATGAACAAACACTTTGGTTTCCACCATTCAACCAGCTGGTCACTAGTCTTTTGTTTAATCGAAACAAAAACAAAATATAGTTGTTTGAACTTTTAACATTTTACAAAAAGAAAAATGCTGTTTCACAGGGGATTATGTGCTGCACTATTTCTTCATTGACATTGACTTCTGAGAGTCTTGTCACCGTGAGATAGGCACAGTTTGTTTATTAGAGCTATAGGGGAGCTGCAGATTTTGTTACCTTTGGACAGAGCCGGGCTGACTGTTTACAGTCTTTATGCAAAGCTAAGCTACCAGGCTGCTGGCTGTAGCGTCATATGTAATAGACAGAGACGAGTGGTATCAATCTTCTTATCCCACTCTTAGCATAAATGGAAATATTTTTCCAAAATGTCTTGCTTAAACGTTACTGAAATTACACACGATGTAAACAATCATGGAGCAAAACGATGAGCTAAAAGATGCTAGAGTTGAATGGCAGGTCAGTAGTACTACAGGTGAATCTAAGTGAGTCATTTAATTCAGTGATAATAACAACAATTATGTTGCAAGTTTAAACATCATAGTTTCAAATTTAGTTATAGCAAAATGCAATTTGTTTTTTACATGTACCTTTAACAAAATCTCTGAAAAGAAATCTTTTAGTAACGTAACTTTAAAAGGCTGGTGGGAAAATTGCAAAGTGTGTTTCAACTCTTTCATATGTGTGTATCCATCTCCCCAAATCCATGTCTCAGGTCTTGATCTTCTGAAGGAAATGGGCCCCCCAAGAGTTATCAAAACACATCTTCCTTTTCAGTTGGTGCCTCCTGGATTTTGGGAAAACAAGTGCAAAGTAAGACTTGATATCTGACAGCTTCAACTGACAGTAAAATCCAGCAGTTTTGCAAGATCCTGCATTGAATTGTATTGTCTTGGGCTTTGAGGCAAATGCATGTTAACGGGGTAAAATGTTCATGACACAATGCACGTAAATGGGGTAAGAGGTTAACAATACAATGCTGCTCAACAACAGACTTATCAAGTGACCTGCTCTTTGTATTGTTCTCATAAATCCCTTTATTTATGTCTATCCTGTTCTTGTTTGAAGGCCATCTACGTGGCACGCAATGCCAAAGATAACCTGGTGAGCTACTACTACTTTGATTGTATGAATCTGACCCAGCCTGAGCCGGGGCCCTGGGAGGGCTACATTCACAAGTTCATGCGAGGAGAGTGTAAGTAGATTAATTCACATTCCTCAGTGTCATTTTACCATGAATCAAACTGGTTATTTCTATTTGCACAAAAGCTTCTTACTGAGCCAAGAATTTACCACCAGGCAAATACTTGTTCCTGAAAAAGGTTCTTTCAGATTTATAAATTTCAACTGTTTTTATTTCTTCTTTGGTGTCATGTGGCCATCAATAAACCAGCTGCTATCTTACTTCAACAGATGCATTTTTTTTTTTTTGTTGTTGCAAATGATCAGGTTTTGAAATATGTAAAATCGTTAGTATTTACTATATTCACTTTCAATTGAGACACCTTTATTAATGTTTGATTGATGTTTTTAATCATTTGCTAAGCTGTCATTATATGATGATGAACATAGTGGAGTATTTAGCAGCTAACGAGCCAGATATTTCCTCTGGAGTCGGTAGAGACCAAAAACAGCTAAAATGAGAGTGAATATTGGAATCACATTTGTCTGGAAGCCAGAAAACATGACAACAAATGAATGCAAATGCCAGATGTGTAGATATTCATCTGTTTACCTGAAGCGGCCAAAAAAAAAAAAAAAAACTGTTATTAAAGGGTTATCACTCACTGACTTTCTAACCATGAAGTCTGCAGTTATAAAAGTCGACAATCCATAAATAAACAAAAAAGCAAATGCCATGCTGGGAGAGGATAAACATTACCAAAAGAGATTTTCCACCATCTGGCAACTAGACACTGATCAATGACATGTGATGACTGATTTAAAAAGATAAGTAAATTATCAACATTAGAAAGTGTTGCCCAATTACTCTAAAACAACCATAAAATCTTTCTTAACAAACTTTAGCTCATTGCCACAGTTGGCGTAACCCTTAACTGGAGGGGGAGTAACATTTTTATGAAAGTCACTGGATGAATTCTGTTGTTGGTAGTGTCGTGGGGCTCCTGGTATGACCACGTGAAGGACTACTGGGTGGAGAGAGAGAAGAGGAATATTCTTTACCTCTTCTATGAGGATATGAAAGAGGTCAGGAGAATATATAGACCCAGTATTACCAAATCACGCTATACATACCTGATTCTTGCTATTGCTATTGCTATTGCTATTGCTATACTGTTATTACTATTCTTGCTGTAACTGATGTTCTTGAAATTGGGACCAATTTTTTTTTTACTTTGTCTAAAGCAAGCAAAAGAAGTGCATTTTAAAACAAATACCAAAATATATCTATGTATTTGAATTAATTCCTTCACCAAAAGTCTTATTTATTCCCCCAGAATCCTCGGCGTGAAGTCGAGCGCATCATGAGATACCTGGACTTGTCGGTCTCTGATGAGGTCATCAATCGGATTGTGGAGCTCACGTCCTTTAAGAACATGAAGGAGAACCCGATGGCCAATTACTCCTGCATCCCAACACCTGTATTTGATCAGTCCATCTCCCCCTTCATGAGAAAAGGTAAATCAGTCTGCTCTCAGTCTCAAGACTCAATTCAAAGATAATTAAAAATGTAGATGCATGTAGAGATCCCAAAGCCCCATGTGTCAAAATGAGGATGACTGATCTGCAGTGGATGAAAAGCAATATGAACACCGTGTCCCACTCCTGTAAACACACATGGAGAAGGCAGGATAAAATACAAGGAAAATGTTATTACAGTTATAGCAGTTACATCAACCGTCCTGCCAACATAAACTCAACAGCAACGGCATCAACGGCTCTTCCTGTACTTCACTTTGGACAGCCCAACAGTGCCCCCTAATGGTCTCTGTATTCCTTGCCTTTGCTTGTTTTTTTGGGTTTTTTTTTTTTGTAGAACTTCATATTCAATATATCTCAAATGATTAGTCCATTCTTAAACTACTTTGATAATCTGTTAATTCTTTAATTGAGTTTTTTTTAGATTCTCAAATGAAATGATTAGCTTTTTTTCTTCATCTTGTTGGATACTAATTTGACTTTCTTGAGTTTTGGAGTCTTTTACAGCCAAACAAGCAATTTGAGGCCATCATCTCTGGGTGTTTGGAAATGTTTACTGTTTTCTGACATTTTATAAACCAAATAATGTTTCAATTGATTGAGAATATAATGGGAAAATGAATGGCTAAGGAAAATAATATTTACACGAAGCCCTAATGTTCAGCAATAGATGGTTTTAGGGGAAGTAATTTGCGAACTTACTTCTAAGTTTTTTTTAGTAATTGCAGCATATACAGTGATTGCTTTATATAGCTAACACTATTGTATTTTCTTCTGTATATTTCTTTTCTTTACAGGTGAAGTGGGTGATTGGACAAACCATTTCACACCTGAGCAATCAAAGATATTTGATGAAGATTATGAACAGCAAATGAAGGAAGTCAACATACCATTCAGGACCCTCATCTAATGGATTTTGGGCTTTATAAGTTGATGCAGCTCTGCGAACCAAAGACCGATGACAGTGGCATTGTGCAGCTCTCAGAAGGCGGAAAACCAAAACAAACGATGAATAAAAAGAAAAAAATGTTTGACTCACTCCTCAAGTCTCGATGTTAAACACCATAATCACTGAACCTCATGATGTGTAGCTACAGAGGAAAGTCATCCAAATCTATGTGGAAAGGATCAATAAAAATGTGCTCCACAATACAAAGTACATGAGTTTGTAATCATCACTTTATTGCAACTTATCACGTAAACAATATATAAGACCAAAAGTGTTGTGACTGAGTGGACATGCCCATTTTATGTCATGAGACCTCCAAGAGTCCCCCGACTGCATGAAGCCTATAGAGGGCGCTGGCAGCTGGAGACGTGGGGTTTTTTTTCTGCCCATATGAAGTCATTTTGCAACCCTACACCACACTGTACAGAGCCCAGCCAAAGCAGGGAGGCTGCACGAGACACGAGCAACAAAGACTAGAATAAAAGTAATGAGCTGGAAAGTCAATCATATGAAAATGGACAGAGGACACAAAAACGCAACAGCTGAGAATATCCAAGTTTAACAAAAAATCACTTTTAATACATACTTTATTTCTTAGAATAAAATCTTAAATATTTTAATACTTTATCAGCAGGGATACCTGCCTTCATTTTTATTCAATATTCTTCCTTATATAGAGACTATTTTTATGTAGATTTTGACATGTTTTATTGTATTTTTTTGTACATTTTCCTGTGTTTTCTCCTCTCTCTTCTATTGGTTGGCTCACTATGGCTTCCCCCTTTGGTTGAGATCTTCTTTTTTCTCTTCTTCGCCTCTTTCTCTCCAACCCTTAAGATCTTCTTCTTCTACATCTCTATTTATGCAACTCTGTACCTGCTGAAGAGAAAATAGACAAATCACAGAGGGAAAGGATGTATGGACACATGACAATTAAATAAAACTAGACTTAAATTATCTTTGTAGACAAACATATGAGCATTATCGAATCAGAGTGTAAGAAAATTCTCCCAAAATGGAACTAATCCCAATGAGATAACCTTTTGCTTTTTTGATTTTTCCAATTAGGGTCTTACACATGGAGATTGGCAACAGCTTATTTTAATAAATACTTTTATATATAAACAAATAAATTGTTTCTAAAACATTAGAATTAATTATAAGCTGATATCAGTTCAATTAACTATAACTTCTCTTATAAAGACATAGTTTCTATAATTATAAGTCTGTTATATTATATTGTTATTCATTATCTGCTCATATACCAGCATCCAATTACAGATGTGTCACAGGTTAAGAGTTAAATCAGTTTATAACAACATCCATAAACACTTGATAAGATCTTTTATCAGCTCATAATTACTTTATAATGTCTTATGAACCATTTATTAAAAGTTTATATACAATGCTAAATTGCTGGGTTAAAATAAATTGTTACCAAAGAGTTTTGTGGGACATTGACTCGATATCAGAACAGGCATTGGTCACACACCTACCAGAACGCAGACAGAAACAACTAAACAGACACATTATAATGCTGAAACCGACAGCAGCAACTCAGAGGTTGCCGAGGCAACTCATGAGCCAGTATGACATAAGAAATAACAGTGAACAGAGAGCTCAGACACAGAAAGCATCACAGGGACCCACTTATGCCACCTTTTCAATTCGTGACAGACCACTTGATTCCTTCACTTTCCAGTTATGTTGTTGCATTGTAAAGGAGACCCCCAGAGTTCCACATCAACACGAGTTTGATAATATGTAGACACCACTAAAGACACATCTGCATTGGAGCAGTAACATACGCGACAGAACAACAACCTACACACTAACTATAGGTACACAGTGAAAGCTACTAGCAGTGCAAGCTGTGGAATACCTTGCTTTAGTTACAGGCTAATGGTGGTGGGTTGACTGAATTTACTCTGGAAATCAAAAAAAGGGTTAAGTGAGTTAATGAGGAATGGAGAGACAGTGATGAGAAATATCAGGCAGAAGAAAACAGGCATTATTAAATTTATGATGGATAGGTAGACAGATGGAGAGATGATGTAATGAAATAAAATTACAGTAAGATGAAGGATTGCACTTGTTAAATACTTGTTAAATACTGTTAAGGTATTAATGAATAATTACATTTAAAAAATGATGACAGTATTAATCAATTAATCATGAAGTAAAAGTAAAATTATATCTCTTATCTGAGGAAATAAGACATATATGTTAGAGTGAATGTATAAAAATGTGAAGGTACTTACTCTCAACGTAGTTGCGGGCAAAGAACTTCAGCACCTCATCAATGAGGATGACAGGGAAGGAAAGCTTCAGGACCATGAGCCACTGTTCAACAGTCAGATGGGTCAACTTGAAGATCATCTGGGGGGCAAGAGAGTGAGTCTTTACTGTTGGGACACTATAGAGGACAATACCTCAATATAATCCCTAAAACTGTGAGATTTACACACATAGCTCTTAAATCAAAATTGACAGAGCATCGACGTCTGACTTACGGGCAGTGGGTCAACATAGATGATCATGAAGTGCAGAGACATGGAGAGGGTCATGGCGGAAATCAGCCAGAAGTTGCTCCATGGGGGCATGCGGATCAGAGACTGGTTCTCAGACAAGCTTGAAAAAGAAAAGACGAGGAATTAAGCAAATAAATACCTGTGGTGTGAACTGGAAGCCCAACGTATTGTCGTTTCAAGTGTTAAACACACTAATTCATATATTCTAAACAATTGTGTTTGTCTGTACCAGCTGTAAACACATTCCAACACATTTGAAGTATTACCTGTTGAGAGCGTTGCACATCTCAATGGTGACCAGCACAGACAGGGCCATGGTCATGGGAGGAGAAGCCTCAAAGATATCACAGTCAATGCCAGTGAAGTCCTCGTTCTCATCGTGGCACTGCATGAAGTGGGACTGTACAGAGGAAAGGTTATTAAGTTATTTGGAACATTAGGTTATTAAGCATCTGCATGTGAGTGTTTGTTAAAGACAACATAAAAGAGAGGCAATTACTGACCAGCTGGTGGTAGGTGACACCGGGGCCAGTGGTATCGTACAGGAACCACCAGGCAGCACCACCAACGGTGGCGGCACCGACATATCCTGTTTGGGAAAAGCAACAGTGTCAGTGCAGGTAAGTGTTCTTCCTGCATTTAAACTTAATGCAAACACAATGTCCAGAGTCTTACTTACCACCAATAGCCATGTATCTGAAGAACAGCCAGCCAGAGATCAGGGGCTCCTTGGGGGAACGTGGGGGCTTGCCCATGATGTCCAGATCAGGGGGGTTGAAGCCCAGAGCGGTGGCGGGCAGACCATCAGTGACCAGGTTGACCCACAGAAGCTGGACGGGGATCAGAGCCTCGGGCAGACCCAGAGCAGCAGTCAGGAAGATACTGACAGAGTGAAAAAGGGAATAATAGAACGAAGGGAAGGACAAGGTTAGCCAGAGACACAGAGAAAGATGGCTGAAAGATAGTGTTTAGGTGTTGATCAGAGTGTGTGTTACACAGGCCACTCACCAGACGACCTCACCAACGTTGGAGGAGATGAGGTAACGGATGAACTGCTTCATGTTGTTGTAGATAGCTCTGCCCTCCTCAACAGCAGCCACAATGGAAGAGAAGTTGTCGTCAGCCAGGACCATCTCAGAGGCAGACTTGGCAACGGCAGTGCCAGAGCCCATGGCGATGCCGATCTCGGCCTTCTTCAGGGCAGGGGCATCGTTCACACCATCACCAGTCTTGGTGGGAGGAGAGGAAGCACAAGTTATTACTATTACTTCTACAGGCTGTAAATCTTAGCACAAAACCAGTGACAGGACAACTGACAGTACAATGACTCAGTCCAGCTCTTCTGCGCTCTTACCATAGCAGTAATGTCATCATGACCCTGCAGGAACTCAACAATCTTGGACTTGTGGGATGGCTCCACACGGGCAAAGCAGCAAGCCCTGACCACAGCTTCGGGCTGTTCGTGGCTGGGCAGATCGTCAAACTCACGTCCAGTGTAGGCCTTGCCAGAAACGTCCTCATCCTCAGAGAAGATGCCAATACGACGGCAGATAGCGATGGCGGTTCCCTTGTTGTCACCTGAAATGTGGAGATGGAAAAGTTTGATAGGGAGTCAGTGAAATGTTTGAGTAGATACAGTTAAAACGTAGACACAAAAAATTTAAAATGGATGTTTCAATACACTGCTAATTTCTGTTTAACTGATGAGGAAAATGATCCAATAAAATGCCAAGTGGCTTTTTAGAAAGGATAAATTGAATATGCAGTATACTGCGTTTACACTTACTATTATGAAATACTTTTAAATCCGATAGGGCTACACGTTTGTTTACATTTACATATTAGATTTCCCCTATGAAAGCAAATTCAAAATAGAAATAATGGCCAAAATATAGCAAATACCATGTAATTACTATGTAAAACACACATACAAACACCCATACCTTGATATTGGTACTAGTGTATTGATAATATTCTACAACATGGAAGTCTTCTGAATTGATCATTTATCCAACCCATATTACTAACCAGTGATCATAATGACACGGATTCCAGCTTCTCTGCACAGCTCAATGGAGCCAGAGACCTCCTTACGGGGGGGATCCAGCATACCCACGCAGCCAACAAAGGTCAGATCAGTCTGAGGAGAGAGATTTTTACATGTAGTCACAGTTGTATCCATACAACCTCTTATCTAGTCCGTCAGTATGTTGTGTTCTCACCTCGTAATCGGCAAACTTGGTGGAATCCTCAAGGTTCATCTCCTCGGGCCTCAGGGGGGTGTCACGGGTGGCCAGGGCCAGGCAACGGAGGGTGTCACGGCCGGTACCCCAGTCTCTGATAACAGCCATGATCTTGTCCTTGATGGCATTGGTCAGGGGAACGCGGGTGGTGCCAACACGCACATATGCGCACCTGTCAATCACACCCTCGGGGGCACCCTGTGGAGAAAGGAGTATTTTGTGTGGAGTTGAATGCAGTACAGTAAAAGTGCAGGTGTCCGATCAAACAGCTGTGAGAGGGAAGAAAGACGGAACTAACCTTCACGAACATCTTGGCACCACCCTCACCCTTGGAGGGAGAGCAGTACACGGACATGGACTTCCTGTCACGGGAGAACTCCAGGGTGAAGTTCTTCTTCATGAGCTGCTTGACCACCTGTTGGAAGATACAGAGAAA